AAAAAAATAAAAAATCCAAAAAAAACCCCAACAAAACCCTCCCCCCCAAAAAAACAACAACAACAAACAAACAAACAGAGGAGTATGGTTGGTGCTTACGTGACCGGAATACGATATATTATATTTTTAGTTTCCTTGAAGTGATTCCTTTCTACATGACACCTAGGTGATGACGCTGTTTGAACCATATTGAGAAGTGCGCGGTTTCTGACGCGTTCAGTTTTGTGTAGACACTTTATGGTGGACTGGTAGTGAACGCAGAGCCTTTATGGCGTGACACAAGGTGGCCAGTTCGTGTATCGCGCGATTATTTCCCTAGTTGAATGTCCTGTTTTGGAATGGAGCATTCGAGGTGGTGAGTGATTGTGATGCGGTGGCGTGATGGAGAACGTTCATGGATGGTGAGGCTATACCGTGAGGTCATACTATGGATCTGAAGGCCATGCCGTGAGTTAGAACGATCATGAATGGTGAGACCATACCGTGATATAGAACAATGGATGGTGAGGCAATACCGTGATGTAAAACAATGTGTGGTGAGACTATTACCGCGAGGTGGAACAATGGATTTACTGCCAATGGATGGTGAGGCTATTATGTCGTGATATAGAACTATTGATTTACTGCCAATGGATGGTGCGACCATGTCATGAGGTAAACAATGGATTTACTGTCAATGGATTGTAAGGGCATACCGTGATGTCAAACAATGGATTGTAAGGCCATACCGTGATGTCAAACAATGGATAGTGAGGTAGAACAATGGATTAATATGTGAGGTCATATCGTGATGTTAACAATGGATTTACTGCGGAGCATGCGCATTAAAAGACAGCGGCAGCAGTGTCTGTTTCCGGCTGTGCGCGCCCTGACCCGCTGTTCCGACGTGACCTACGAGTGGGACCTGGCCGAATTCTTCTCCCTTACGCCGGTAGAGTGGACTCAGTATTGTGTTGGTGAGTTTGGGTTCCAATCCGACGTGGCCTGGAGTTACTGAGAAATCGGACAAGCTCAAACTGTTTTTCTCAAGGTCGTTGTTATTGTTGTCAGTTATTTCTCAAGGTCATTGTCAGATCAGAGTTCAGCCGTGTTGCTGTCTTTAACTACCTCACTACCAATCAACATCTAAGTTGTCGTTTGTACTTGTTCTTGTTTTTGATTTTGTTCTTGTTTTTGTTCTTGTTCTTGTTCTTGTTCTTGTTCTTGTTCTTGTTCTTCTTCTTCTTGTTCTTCTT